AAGTGGACAGACGTAGCAGACGAATGTGAGAGGTTCCTCGGCAAGAAGCAGTTCTGTGGAGTTCAGGTACAGTAGATTGAATGAGTGTATGTTGTTTAACGTCCAAATCGAGAATTTTTCACTCATATAGAGATATGACAGTATTCCGGTGAAGGGCTTCAAATTTAGACCTTTACTCGGCACTCAGGGCCATTGAGCAGTGAGGGTTCTTTAATGGGCCAACGCCTACCGTGACATGGGACCTACGTTTTTAAGGTCATATCCGAAAGACCCGTGACTTCAAATGCCTAGCGCTTGGCGAAGGAACACTCACTATACCTATATTAACGTCTTAGGTTTGAGGCGTCACCGCGAACGAGAATCGAACCCGGACCTCCCGTGCAAGCGAACGTTCTATTACTAGGCTACCTTGACCGGTCAGGTACTGTAGATTAAACTTTTAGAGTTCAGGTTCATTTAAATTATCCAATGGTGTATGTCTATTCTTTTTATAAATCTATGAGAATTATAATTGTCTTTAAAAACTCACTTGGTTTGCAAAGAAATAATTCATATGAATCATTCCGACATATAAAGTCTTCTTCGATAGGTTTCACCTCCAAATGAACACGTTGTGGTCACACACCCCATGCGTCCGTGGTGGGAAAGGTATCAACCGGTCAGTTATAAACTTCACAGCCGGGGAGGAACCGAGGCTGAATTCAAAGATATGGTCACTAGATGTAAAAACGTAGGAGTCAGGTTAGAAGGAAACATCTAAAGTTTGAATGAGATTTGATTTTTAAGCTTGGATCCTGTTCGTAGTCTCCATGTACATGTATATCATATATTTTTAAGACCTACCTTTTCAGGATTTACGTGGATTCCGTGATAAATCATATGGCAGGACTAGGAAGGACAGGTCAAGGTTCGGGAGGCACCTCCTTCAACTCTGACAATTACGATTTCCCGGGGGTGCCGTATAGAAGGGAGCATTTCAATTCTAGGAATAAGTGCCCTTCTCACGATGGTAATATTAATAATTACGGAGACCCTAACAATGTCAGGAACTGTTTCCTTGTGGGACTCACGGACTTGGATCAAAGTCAGGAATATGTCAGAAACAAAATAGCGGAGTTTTATAACCACTGTATTGATCTAGGGGTAGCGGGATTCAGGATAGACGCTGCAAAGCACATGTGGCCAGGAGATATCAAAGCCATTCAAGACAGAACGAAGGATCTTCCAGAGGGAGGCAGGCCGTTTTTCTATCATGAGGTGATTGATCTAAACGATGGAGCAATTAAAGTAAGTGAATACACTGGTCTTGGTTACGTGACAGAATTTAGGTATTGTCCAAAGATTGCAGAGGGAATACGTAATTTTGGAATGCTTCACACAGTTTATGATCCGGGTTGGGGAATGACTGACAGTTCTCATGCCTTTGTTTTCGTTGATAACTATGACAACCAAAGAAGAGGGGACCGGAATATCATCACTCATAAATCACCACGTGATTACAAAATGGCGGTTGCTTTCACCCTGGCATACAACTATGGTTTTACCCGTGTCATGAGCAGTTATTATTTCCAAAGCTCGGATGAGGGACCTCCCCATAACTCTGACTACTCTGCAAAAGACGTTACCATTAACGCTGACGGTTCCTGTGGTAATGGATGGGTATGTGAACACAGATGGAATCCAATAGCCAACATGGCGGTCTTCAGGAACGCAGTAGCAGGAACTGAGATAAAGAACTGGAGGAATCAAAATGATGAAATTTCTTTTGCTCGAGGACAGAAAGGTTTCTTTGCTATGGCCAAACAAGGTCACATGGACACAATCCTCCAAACTGGTTTACCTACAGGGGAATATTGCGACCTGGTCTCAGACTGCAAGAAGAAGATCACGGTAGATGGAAGTGGTACTGCCCACGTCATCATTGACAATAGCGCTGAGCCAATGGTAGCATTTATTGTTGGTTAGTCTGATATTAGTGATTGCTCTTGTATTTTGAAATGAAATATGCATACTTTACATAGAATTACTAATGTATGATATATTCTTCAGATGGACCAACAGCCCCCGGGGATAACTTTTTAACTCTTTATCCTTTGGCAACAACTTTGCCTCCTGTATCTATAACACTGCATATTGTGTTTTCTACCAGAGGATCAATAGTTTCCCCTACTACAGGATCAATAGGCTTATCTACCACATCTAGCCCAAGATCAACTTTTACACCAGGAAACGGCACGTGGTCAAGAACTGTGATTCTGTTTGAGAAAATGACGAGAAACGGGGAGGATCTTTTTATTGATGGCGGAATTAGTCATGACCATAGGCAGGGTAAGAATAATCTTTTCTGAAATCTTTTTCTTCATGATAAAAATAAAACATGCTTAAAAGCACTAAAGACGTTCATGCACCGAATGTGAACCCTTTATTATGCTAATTATTATTACTTTAATTCACACCACAAAATATGTAGCTACATTGATTTTTATAATAGAAGATTCTGGCAACAAATTCTTTGTTGAGTTTATTATTTACGTAATTTACCTTTGCAATATAGTACAAAATTGATCTGTAGGTCATTTATGGTAATAATAAACATTAGTACATCATTTCTTTTATTTTCAATCTTAATGATTAACCTAGGTCTAAATTTCTTTTACTGGCTTTATCAAAATCATATCCACTGAGTTCTATCCCAAAACAGGAAAGAGCTAGGTTCACTTTATGCATTAAACGGCCCTGTACTTACATCAATCAACACTTGGTGCTTTCATTTCCTATAAAATTTCTTTTTGAGAATCCAGATATTGGAAAACAGACTTTTAGAAATTGCAGTGTTCTTGAAGTTTGCAGAAAACATGCGTTTTTGTCTACCTTCAGCAAAGAATTAAAAAATAGAGCACAACCTCTGATCCAAAGTATGCAAATACATAATAAAAGATCTGTTTCAGAAGATCAAAAAACATGTTTTATTTTTTGGAGCAAAGCCCACGATTCAAAAAATAAAACATGTTTTTTGATCTTCTGAAACAGATCTTTTATTATGTGTTTGCATATTTTGGATCAGATCTAGAGGTTGTGCTCTATATGAAATATTGAAAAAATACTTCAAATTTAAGCTATCTTCAAAGGATTTTACAGGATATGAGGAAAATACGCATTTTATGACGTCATATTGCATTGACTAGAGAAAAAATTACGTCATGATTATTCGATACATGGTCACCAACACTCCAAGTGATAAATATTGCATTTGCATCCTAAAACTGAGCGATTTTGATTTTTTCAAAAATTTTCAGGGCCAAATACATGTAAGGCCCAAAGTGGCTTTTGCTCTTTCGGAAGAAATTCTACAATTTATTAGTTGCATTTTTGGTCAATCTTATTTGGTTTCGGTAAATCTCACTTCCATTGTGTTAAATAAACTGTACACAACCTTAACGAGGTTAGCTTCTGAAATTTGAAGTCTTGGAATTTTTTGTCAATTATATTTTTAGTTTCTACACATAGCTTTATTAAAAATCAAATAAAAAAAATGGGGATCAATATGCGCCACAGTACATTTGATATGACCTTTCTGCACTGAAATTTGTGTCAAAATCGAAAATTACATCTTCGACGTTTTACCTCCAATATTTTTATCCAAATAAAGCATGGAAGAAAAGAAACTTTAATTTTACTTAAATAGATACACTTCAAAATTGTGACTAAGAAATAGTTTCGAATTACTTCGCATAATCAATTTTTTTTTACCTTTCTGCACTCAATTAATGTGATTTTTGTGGAATTAAAAATTTAATAAGCAAGAAAATTAATTTAAAGTCGTAAACTTTTGCTGAGTTTAAACAGATAGGTCAAACTTAACTTATATATTCCAGAGCATCAAAAGTAGGGATATATGATTTAAATTTTTAGATATTACTAAATAAGTGTCAATTTTATGTTAAAGGGGCATGGACTCAGTTTCAATTGATTTTTTTTTTTACCAATTTTAGTTTTCACAATTCCTAACTAAGGCAATTCTAATGATCTGCAAAAATTTGAACATCATTTGTTGATTTACAAAGGAGATGCAGGACTGAGAATTCTTCATAATGTGAACACGGCTCTTGCCTTTTTTTGTGTACGTTTAGAAAATATCATGTTTATAACAAAACGGGATTCAGCAAATCATTATAAAATGTCTAACTGTATTTAAAATTAACATCTTTATTGAAAAAATCTGCTTTGACGAACACATACATGTATCGGCATGTTTAACCTATGTAAACAAAAACATGGCTCGGGCCTTGTTTACATAACAAAGGTTTGGAGCTCTAAATCTGTCTTGTAACTCGACAACTGAAATTCAAAAACTTGCTGATCATTAGAAATACCTTAGTTAAGTATTTGTAAACAAAAAACATGGAATGAAATTTTTGGCTTAAACTGTGTTCAGGCCCCTTTAAAATTGGCTCAAATTTTTCCTGGAATTTCAGAATACATTTTCTATATTTGTCACAATTCCTGGAAAGAATTCATAAAAAATAATTAAATAGATATTTTAGAACTAGCATAACATATTTCACGGCAAAAAATAACCTTGTGTGCAACCAGCATGGAAAAAAAAAACTAAAGTTAACAGTAATGAATATAGTTCAAAAGGTAAACATTTATAATTTTCTACTAAAATCCTTCCACCACAAGATATAGTTCCTCGCTTAGACCCACTTGAATGGTATTTAATCGCGGTGTTTTTCATTGAACATAGAGCAATTTGCATTGTACAATGCAGATTAAATGTCAGACCTTAAAAATGATGCAGAGGTAAGGAAATAAAGGTCTAGACCAAAATTTGCTCAAAAGCTCAGGATCGAACCTCCTTAATATCGAGCCCATCGTGGGAAACGCCGTTCGCAACTCTGCAAGCAAATTCTGGGCGAAGAGGAAACTCGGACTGTTCCCCATTGATCCAACAGACTTTTTCCGCAAATACATCGGTTCCCACAATCTTTTTCAAATAGGCTGTATTTTATAAGTGCGGTACCGTTCTTTCAATTTACTTTCTCATGATAATAAAACAAGTTTTTTGAAAAAAAAAATCATATTAGAATCATATAGCAAGTACAGCATGGATTAAAACTTGGATGAAAAAATGACCAAACACACAGACGGATATTAAAGCTGTCTTATGTATGATGACAGATTTTTTATTGCTATCATCTCACAGAACGGTAGACTCAAGTGAAATTGATACATGATCAGCAAACACCTATATGAATGACGGATATACATTGAATACTCTTCATGAATGAACCTAAATATCAATATTGCTATTACTTAGAATTTGATGTCACATAGTAATATATCAGGAACAATTCAGAAATACTTTATTAAGACAATATCAAAATAGGATTATTAGTTCACGTTATATATATATTTTGTTGAAACTTCCTATTTAGACTGTCGGTCATCCTACAGGGTGTACTACTACTGCCGCGACAAGTGTGTGTGCAATTCCAATCAAGTACAATGAGGAACCCTCCTTTTACAAGTCTTTTAATGCCTGGAAGCAGGGCGACAATTACCTGGACTGGTATGGGCCGGAGGTTGGACAGGGAACTTATCTGGGCAGACGGCCCACTGGATCACCAACCGTGTGGACAACGAATGACCGAAACAGCCAATACTACAGTCCCCTCAACACGTAAGTAAAAATGAAAAGGTCAACAGTGACCGATAAAAATAAATGCAAATAGCTAATGTGTGAACAGAAAATTCTGAACATATACATGTAGCAGGTGCCCAGGAGGCGTAACCATCTCCTGTAGGCCTGTCACACCCTCTGTGATCCTTATGTTTGGATAGACGGAATATTCCATAGTGAAATTAGTATAAATACAAAGATCCAGTAATTAAGTGGACTTTATAATAAGTTATATTTGCTAACAAGGTCTTTATAAAGACCATAGGATCTACGAAATACAGATTTGAACGAGGTTGTTGAAATCCCTGTCACATCAACATATTTGACAGTAGCCTGCCTTGGTATCTTATTTAATTTATAACATGCATATGGTCCTGATAATCAAATAAGTTTAGACAAATAAACATATAGGATTATTAATTTATAGGTAAGGAAAGTTTACGATGAATCTTGCAGTCTAGTTGTTAGTTAGCCATCTGTAGTCTGTAAAATATCCGAAAATGAGACGGATTTGACAGAATATCTGGTGTTTTTATTTCGAGTTCACTGAGATATATCGAATCGACATCTGAATGAAAGTAGCTCATGTTAACTGATAAAAAGTCGTAGATATATCTGTGAATGTTTTAGGCCACAGCAAGAATTTTATTTTAATGAGGACGTTTTTGAAAGAAATCTGCTTGATCGATATCACAGAACTTGTTTCGCAAATAAAATTTTAACCAATAGTATAGTAATATTATACAATGGATTAAATTTTATTTCTGAAACAAGTGCCTGTGATAGATTTATATAAAAACATGTCGAATGATAAAGAAGCACAATTTAATTGTCAAGCAATGAAAATGAACTTTATTCTTAAAACAGTGCAGAGATATGTACAAAGTGTACAAACAACATAATAAACAGAAAATATAACATGCCTGAAGAAAGGAAAGCCGAGTGTAATAAAATCATAAATGGCGTATTTTTGATAACTTCAGGCTTACTAAAATTAAAAAGATCTTTCTATTTGTTTTATTACCTTTTCCTTATAAATTACACAATTTAATAATTGGTGATATCTCCTTTCTAAACAGTCCATAATACTTTTATTGTCTAAATCATTGATGATATAAAGTAGAAATATCAGTCCACACTTGTTTTCCGATACCGCATACATTTAAAATATTTTTTTTTTTTTTTAAATTTTATTATTTTTTTTTTTATTGACTTTCACAAGTACACAAAGCAGACTATACATATATATATATAAGCAAAGCATATAAACACATATACACGGTAAATGTCTTGATAATTTCGTTCGTTTACAGCAGTACAAAGTTTACTTGTATAAGTGAAAGCATATAATTACATTTTTCCATAAAAACAAATGATTTTTTTTTCAAAGTACATCACAGATTTTTTGCCAGTGCCTTTCATATTCCATATATTTGCAACTTTGTAATAACAACACCTTTTCTATAAAAATTCTCTCTATAATCCTCTTTATTAGGATGTCGATACTTAATTTTGGAATACTTTTATATTTACTTGCAAAAATAAATTGCTTTACAGTAAGTATAATCAAGTTTTGTAATTTACAAATATTCCTGTTCTCGTATTTACCAAAAAGTATTGATATTTTATCAAAACTACAATGCATCTCAAATTTGTCCAAAACCCATTCTTCAATCCTACACCATAAATCTTTTACTTTGAAACATTCTACAAACAAGTGGTCAATTGTTTCTAAGTCACTTAAACAAAAAGTGCAGGCTGGTGAGTCAATCAACTTCAATTTAAAAAGATAATAATTAGGTCTTTCCACCTTTCTGTGGAAAGACCTATTGAAATGCTTATTAGGTCTTTCCACCTTTCTGTGGAAAGACCTCTTGAAATGCTTCTGTTTTTTATTTTATTTCTTACCTTATGTTTTGACACCGTAAGACTTATCGAAAAACTTTATAGTTCATGATACTGGATATTCAAAGTTATTCCGAAAAATGACCCCCCATGTTTTAACTTAGATCCCTTATGCAGTTATTGCCCCTTTCACCGAAAAGCTTGTTATCGCTACTCCTCCGAAACCGTAAACCGTAGAGATATAAAACCTTCACCATTGTCTTCAACTAATTAAGGAGACTTTTCAATCTATTCATTGCGAAAGTTTTCTTTGACCCCTTCAATGAGTAACTGCCCCTGAAAGTTTATAAATTTTACTAAAAATTAAAAATTTTCAAAACGAAAAGTCTTAGAGACATGAAACCAACTGCATAACATTCAATGACCTTTTCCCTTTAAATTCATTTCAAGGTCAAAGGTCAAGGTCATTCCAATTATGAGAAATAAATTTCTCTTAATAGCTCTTATGTCCTTAAACATATGCGATCTATCTTATGTCTTTAATATGTACTTTTGAAACTCTTTAGAAGATATAAATCTTGGCCCCTAAGATTGAGCCTTTTAAAAGTTGTTGCCCCTTGTGCTAAAAACCCTTGTTATCGCTACTCCTCTAAAACCGTAAACCGTAAAGGTATGAAACCTTCACCAATGGCTTTGCCTAATTATGGAGACTCTTCAATCTATTCATTGCGAAAGCATTCGGTGACCCCTTCAATGAGTTATTGCCCCTGAAACGTTTTGAATATTACAAATAATTAAAATTTTTTAAAACGAGAAGTGATAGAGACATGGGACCAACTGCATAAGATTCATTGAGCTTTGAGCTTAAAATTCATGTTAAGGTCAAAGGTCAAGGTCATTCCAAAATTGAGAAATTAAGCTCTTTTTATATCTTTTTTGTCTCTGAACATATACAAACTGTCTTAGCATCATTAATATGTACTCTTAAAACTATTTTAAAGATTCAATTCATATTCCGTAAGATTGACCCTATTAAAAGTTATTGCCCCTTTCGCAAGAAATGCTTGTTATCGCTACTCCTTCGAAACCGTAAACTGTAGAAATATGAAACTTTCACTAAAGTCTTCGACTCATTGAGAGGACTCTGGAATCTATTCATTGCGAAAGTATCCGGTGACTCCTTCAATGAGTTATTGCCCCTGAAACTTTTTGAATTGTACAAATAATTAAAAATTTTCAAAACGAGAAGTGATAGAGACATGGGACCAACTGCATAAGATTCATTGAGCCTTGAGCTTAACATTCATGTAAAGGTCAAAGGTCAAGGTCATTTCGAAATTGAGAAATTAAGCTCTTTTTATATCTTTTTTGTCTCTTAACATATACAAACTGTCTTAGCATCATTAATATGTACTCTTAAAACTATCTTAAAGATTCAATTTGTATTCCGTAAGATTGACCCTATTAAAAGTTATCGCCCTTTGTGCGGTAAACCTTGTTATCGCTACTACTTCGAAACCGTAAACCGTAGAAATATGAAACCTTCACTAAAGTCTTTGACTAATTGAGAGGGTTCTGGAATCTATTCCTTGTGAAAGTATTTGGTGACTCCTTCAATGAGTTATTGCCCTTGAAAGTCTCTGAATTTTAGAAATATTTAAAAATTTTCAAAACGAGAAGGTATAGAGACATAAGCCCAACTGCATAAGATTCTTTGACCTTTGAGCTTAAAATTCATGTAAAGGTCAAAGGTCAAGGTCATTTCAAAACTGAGAAATTTAGCTCTTTTTATATCTCTTTTTTCTTTCAACGTATGCTTAACGTCTATGCATCATTAATATGTACTTTTAAAACTGTGTCTTAAATTTCATTCTCGTCCCTTAAGATTGACCCTATAAAAAATTATTGCCCCTTGTACGAAAAACATTTTTATTGCTATTGCTCCAAAACCGTAAACCGCAAAGATATGAAACCTTCTTTAATGTCTTATATGACTTTAGGCAAAACTTTTATGTTCAAGTGCAAAAGGATCTGGTGACTCCTTGATTGAGTTACTGCCCTTAAATGCTTTTGTGCTTACTATTTAACCTTATAACTTTAAAACTATAAGTCATAGAAACATGGGGTTAATTACAATGTGACCCTTGACCTTTGACCTTGAATATGACTTGAAGGTCAAAAGTCAAGGTCACCTAAAAAAAAGATTATTATCATTTTTTTTCTTCTTTTAAGCCATTCCTGGTTTCTTTTTTTATGAAATTTAATTTTAAATAGATAAATATTAAATGAAATTGAAATTAAAAAGGTGGAAAGACCTCTTATTGTTCTGTGAACAATAAGTCTCCTAGTTTTTTATTATTTTTCCGCCGTGTGATTTTGAGTTTCAAGATTTATCGTAAAGATTTTCAATTCATAAGAATGTACTCCGTAAAAGATTTTCGCAGTTGACCCTGCGTATATAAACTATGACCCCTTTCTGAGTTATTACCCCTTTCGCAAAAAAGCTTGTTATCGCTACTCCTCCGAAACCATAAACCGTAGAGAAATGAAACCTTCACTAATGTCTTCGACTAATTTAGTAGACACTTTATTGATTCATTGCGAAAGTATTCATTGACCCCTTCAATAAGTTATTGCCCCTGGAGGTTTTAGAATTTTACAAATAATTAAAAATTTTCAAAACGAGAGGACGTAGAAACATTGGACCAACTGCATAAGATTCATTGACCTTTGACCTTAAAATTCATTTTAAGGTCAGAGGTCAAGGTCATTCCAAAACTGAGAAGTTTAGCTCTTTTTATATCTCTTTTGTCTTTTAACATATACTTAATGTCTATGCATCATTAATATGTACTTTTAAAACTGTTTCAAAGATTTTATTCTTGTTCCCTAACATGAACCCATTTAAAAGTTATTGCCCCTTGTGCGAAAAACCTTGTTATCGCTACTCCTCCGAAACTTTAGACCGTAGAGACACCAAACCTTCACTAATGTCTTAAGGGTCTTTAGACCTAACTTCACTGTATAGGTGCAAAAGAATCTGATGACCCCTTGTATGAGTTATTGCCCTTTAACTTCTTTATACTTACTATTAAACCTTGTATCTTGAAAACTATAAATGGTAGAAGCATGGGGCCAACTGCATTGTGACCCATGACCTTTGACCTTGAATATTTTGTCAAGGTCAAAGGTCAAGGTCATTGCAAAAATGAGAAATTAAGCTCTTTTTATATATCCTTTGTCTTTTAACATATGCAATCAGTCTTTGCATCATTAATATGTACACTTAAAACTATTTCAAAGATTTCATTCTTGTTCCCCAAGATAGACTCTATCAAAAGTTATTGCCCCTTATGCGAAAAACATTGTTATCACTACTACTTCAAAACTGTAGACCATAGAGGCATGAAACCTTCACTTATGTCTTAAGGGTCATTAGGCACACCTTCATAGTATAAGTACTAAAGGATCTAATGACCCCTTATATGAGTTATTGCCCTTTAACTTCTTTATACTTACTATTAAACCTTATATCTTGAAAACTATAAATGGTAGAAGCATGGGGTTAATTGCAATGTGTCCTTTGACCTTTGACCTTGAAAATTTTTTCAAGGTCAAAGGTCAAGGTCATTAAAAATTTTTTTTTTTTTTTTACATTTTCATTTTTTTTTCAAGCCATTTCCCTTAAAATTAAATTTAGAGTGTAAAATATAAAACTATAAGAAATTTGAAAAGGTGGAAAGACCTCTTATTGTTCTATGAACAATAAGTCTCCTAGTGTTTTTTATTATTCTATTTCTCACCTTATGTTTTGACACCGTAAGACTTATCAAAAAACTTTATAGTTCATGATACTGGATATTTAAAGTTATTCCAAAAAATGACCCCCCATGTTTTAACTTAGACCCCTTACGCAGTTATTGGCCCTTTCACCGTTAAGCTTGTTATCGCTACTCCTCAGAAACCGTAAACCGTAGAGATATAAAACCTTCACCATTGTCTTCAACTAATTTAGGAGACTTTTCAATCTATTCATTGTGAAAGTTTTCTTTGACCCCTTCAATGAGTAACTGCCCCTGAAAGTTTATAAAGTTTACAAAAAATTAAAAATTTTCAAAACGAAAAGTCGTAGAGACATGAAACCAACTGCATAACATTCAATGACCTTTTGCCTTCAAATTCATTTCAAGGTCAAAGGTCAAGGTCATTCCAAATATGAGAAATAAATTTCTCTTAATAGCTCTTATGTCCTTAAACATATACGATCTATCTTATGTCTTTGATATGTACTTTTGAAACTCTTTAGAAGATATAAATCTTGGCCCTTAAGATTGACGCTTTGAAAAGTTGTTGCCCCTTGTGCTAAAAACCCTTGTTATCACTACTCCTCTGAAACCGTAAACCGAAAAGGTATGAAACCTTCACCAATGGCTTTGCCAAATTATGGGGACTCTTCAATCTATCCATTGCGAAAGCATTCGGTGACCCCTTCAATGAGTTATTGCCCCTGAAACTTTTTGAATATTACAAATAATCAAAAATTTTCAAAACGACAAGTCGTAGAGACATGGGACCAACTGCATTAGATTCAGTGACCTTTGACCTTCAAATTTATGCAAAGGTCAAAGGTCAAGGTCACTCAAAAATTGAGAAATCAAGCTCTTTTTATATCTCTTTTGTCTTTTAACATATACAATCAGTCTTTGCATTTTTAATATGTTCTCTTAAATCTATTTCAAAGATTTCATTCTTCTCCCCGAAGATTGACCCTATTGAAAGTTATTGCCCCTTATGCGAAAAACCTTGTTATCGCTACTACTTCAAAACCGTAGACCGTAGAGACACCAAACCTTCTCTAATGTGTTAAGGGTCTTTAGGCCTAACTTCATTGTAAAAATGCAAAAGGATCTGATGACCCCTTATATGAGTTATTGCCCTTTAACTTCTTTGTACTTAATATAAAACCTTATAACTTGAAAACTATAAGTGGTAGAAGCATGGGGTCAATTGCATTGTGCCCTTGACCTTTGACCTTGAAAAATTTTCAAGGTCAAAGGTCAAGGTCATTTCAATTTTTTTTTAATTTTAATTTTTTCTATCGGTTAAGACAGTTTTGTTTTTTTTATTCATGGAATTTAATTTTGAGGAGTCAAATAAACAAAATTAAAAACATCAAAGAAGGTGGAAAGACCTCTTATTGTTCTGTGAACAATAAGTCTCCTAGTTTGTTGGAATAATTCTGTGTAATATTTGAAATTGGAGCCAGTGAATTTGGATTCCTGAGTAACTTTGAAAGGAAGTTCAAATATTTTATTCCAATCTGCTTCATCAAAGAAAACATTATTTTCATTCCATTTTAAAAGAGAACTGATTGGCTCTCTCATGTTATTTATAAATATTTTATACATATCTTTACACCCTTTATTACTTCTATAAAAAATGAAAGTTGAATGTGGAATATTTGGTCCAATAACCTTTAATCTTTTAATGTCCTCTATTCCTGCATACTTCAGTCTTTTTAATATAGCCCTCTTAAGACCATTATATTCAACAAAATTTGTTTTCACTTTTAAGTTTACTATGGTATCGAAGCTTAAAAAGTTACCATCATTATCAAAAAGGTCATTTAAAAAGACAAAGCCTTCATCAAAATAGCTTTTCCAGAAAAAAGATTTTCTATTAATCATTATATGTGGGTTATTCCATATATGTTCTAATAACACATGTTTGTTTTCTTGGTTTATATTTATAAGTCTTACCCAGGAATTAAGGACCTCTTTCCAAAAATTGTTTGTTAAATTCTTTGCTAAGTTTAGAATGTAATCTGAGCCCCTTATCCACATGTTTTCAATGTCTGTTTTTAGTTCAGCTTTAAACAACTTTACCCATTTTGCATCTGAGTGAATGAGTCTTCTAACCCAACTTGATTTAAGTGCAGAAATAAATTCTGTGTAATCTACCATTTTCAGCCCTCCATATTTATAGTCCTGAATTATAACATTTTTCTTTATTTTATGTATTTTACTATTCCATAAAAAATGAAACAACTCTGTCTCAAACATTTTTAGAAATTCGGGTTTAGGATTTGGTAGTGTAAGAATCAGATGATTTAGTTTTGGTATTATAAGAGTTTTAATTACTGTTAATCTACCAATTGGGGTAAGTTTCCTCATACTCCAACTACATAGGAGTTTTTTAATATCATTTAATTTTGACATGTAATTTAATTCAAGCATTTCCTCCAGATTAACTGAAAATTTTATTCCTAGCAGATCAAAGTTTGAATTATCCCAATCAAGCTTCCACCGAGAATGGTGAAAAACTTCCTTGGAATATTTCTTACTTCCAATCCAAACCATTTTTGTTTTTAAGAAGTTAATTTTTAAACCCGAAATATTTGCAAAATAATCGAGTTCGCGTAGAATACCATCCATTGAGGTAGGTGAACCATCTGAAATAAGGGATGTATCATCAGCATATTGTGAAAGTTTATATTCTTCGCCTTCGATTGTTATGCCTTTAATGTCGTTATTATTTCTAATAAGAATTCCAAGTATTTCTGCACATAACAAAAAGAGATATGGTGAAATTGGGTCGCCTTGTCTACAGCCTCTTTGAGGAAATATATAGTCTGAAATAATACCATTTTGTATTACACATGATTTAATACCACTGTAGAAAGTCTCAATCCATTTTTTAATGGAGGGTCCAAAGTTGAAAAAGTCCAATGTTTGATATATAAATTTCCATGAAATTGTATCAAATGCTTTTTCAAAGTCTATAAGCATTAGTAAACCAGGTACTTGGTTTAATTCTGTATAATGCATCAAATCATATATTAATCTAATATTCTCCCCTATGAATCTTCCTTTTATAAATCCAGTTTGGTCTCTATTGATTAATGTATCTAATTTTGTTTTCATTCGTTCAGCAATACAACCTGAAGCTATTTTATAAACTACATTTAGTAGACTAATTGGCCGCCAGTTTTTTAAAAACTGTTTTGGTTTTCCTGATTTTGGAATACAAGTTATAATTCCAAGTTTATTTGACTCTGTAAAATGTGTTAGATCATATGAATTGTTTATTGCTCTTGTAATAAAAGAACCTATATCTTTCCAAAAAAATTTGAAAAACTCGCAAGTAAATCCATCGGGGCCAGGACTCTTCTCATTTTTCATTTGTTTTAGGAAATTAAGAACTTCAGAATTTGTCACTGGACCTTCAAGACTATTTGATTCTTCTTTACTTAACTTGGGAATATCTTTATAATTTTTTAATTTTTCATGAATATTTTCAGATTCAACATTTTCCCTTTTTTTATATAAACTTTCATAAAAAGACTTTGTTTCCTCTAAAATATCTTTCTGAGTAGAAACAAATGATCCATCATCTCTTTCTATTTTTGGAATTTGCTTACTGACATAGTTTCTTGATTCTAAACTAATAAAGTATTTAAAATATTTAATTATTATCTTGCATACGACATTTTCATATGAAGGGAGACAACATAGTTATCACCTTACACGCTCGCTTGCACTATTTCATAACCATCTAAACGAAGATAACATAGTCGTCACCTTATACGCTCGCTTGCGCTATTTCATAATCATCATTATTATCTTTCAGAATTGTACGGTCAATCTGATTGGTTTAGAGCATGTCACGTGAGGCGTGAAAATTTGTGATGTCTCCCTCACGCGCAGGGTGACAACTGTTATCAACCTTCAGATAGCAATGAGACAGCGTAAGGTAACATGCAGGGTTACAAGAGTGTTGTCGCCCTTTAAATAAAATTCCAGTGGTTTAAGCGAGATAAATCCTATTTACATGTATAATTATAGGTGTATAAATGCTAAATATGCAGGATCGGGAAACAATAAATTCTAACGATGACGTCAGAGTTGCCTGTTGACATGTTTCAAATGTGTGGAATAAGAACAGGGTCGTAGAAAATAAGAGGTTTGACTGGTATTTCTACTTTGTGTTGTTTATTACAAAAAATTCCAACGGAGGTAGAACTGGATTTTTATCAAGGTCATAATCATAATTTCTATCTGATTGATAGATATGGTCCTCACTACTGGCTGTTGGATGTAATGATGGATTGTTCTAGTTCAGAGAATGGTTGGTTTGAGTATAATTCCAATCTTAATTTTATTTATCGATTCCTTGTGTTTTGATTGGACGAGAACAAATTCAAGGAAAAGTTTACACATCGATGAATTTTTCAACCAGAACTACTTTCATGACTGTTGTAAAAACAATGAAAACATACTTCTAGTCCGTTTTAGCTAAATTATGATTACAAAAAACTTATAATAAAAAATGAATGAATAAAAAAGAGAATAACAGGACTGACAGACGGGAATATTATGTTTATGTCACTGTCGGATCACGAGTGTGAATCTTTGAAATCGCTGATCATGCTGTCATTTTCTCGACGTTCCATATCAACTCAGTTGGTATCGTAATGTGATAGGGAAAAGAAACGTACCTCGGGCTCTTGCCTTTTCAGCATCAAATTCATATATTTACATCCTACAGATCCCATATTCTCCCTAAATCTTTAAACGAACCAGAGCAAATCGAGGACGTCGTCGACGTCGGTCTTCAACTTTCGTCATGACGTCAATGGCATTTGGTCAAGGACGAATTATTTTGGAGAATACGCGTATTTACGATATTTGTTGACTTAAACAACATTCAATGAGTTTTTATAAGTTTAATTATTGATTGTTTTGACAAATAAAGTTGGATTTTATCTATATTCATCTTGTATACGTTTCTTTGAGGCATAAAGTATTCCTACGCCGTACAAAATAACGGATTGTATGGCGGCCTCAAAGAGAAGTAATTTTAATAATTAAAAAAATTCGTAATATTGGAATTATAAGAATTAAACGTTCTTTTTTCAGAATTTATCGATGTGTAAACTCTGCCTTTTTACTCACAAACTTTACATAAAAGTGCTTCGCACTTTTATTCAGTTTGTGAGTAAAAAGGCAGAGTTTACACATCGATAAATTCTGAAAAAAGAACGTTTAATCCTATATTAAATATAAAATATACGGTCACTGGGAAGGAGCAGTACACAACCAACATTGTGGAGACCCTTCCTATCTCTCTGACAACCACATGGCTAAATGTGGCGCCAAAAATGTCTTTCACCAGAATGGGCAATGTGAAATAAGACTAAGTAAATTTTTTAGTCTCTTCAGTATCTCTATTGTAATATTAAAAATCTTGTAGAACTGTAACTTGGATGTCACTAAAATTATGTAAAATTCACACATATACTACAGATAATTTTATATAAAAACCATTGAATCAAACGTATTCTACAACAAGTAAATGGAATTTCAGTAAGGCTCTCTTATAATGAACTCAGTATGAAATTTCTGTTATAAGGAAGTTAAATTTTTTCCCATTTCTCATATCAAAGCACTTTCGTGTTTAAGAAATAAATGTCTAGAATTTTTTGATTTCAAAATGATATCCTTGTGAGTTATTGCTTATAATTACATACCCTTGATTCCGCCAATCCACGTGCTACAAACCCCGCTTTTTGTCTCTATTTGTCCCGCCCTGCACTTAATTTTTATTAACTGCACCTATTGATTAACCAGTACATTTATGTAAAAATAAAGCACATTAACTATTTGTATTTTCATCTCGGACAAAGAACGTTAGAAATGTAAATATATGGATATAAAGAGCTTTGGGTATAAGGAACAAAAATTTAAAGTCCAAAAGTAATTAGCAAATTAATTGTAGCTTACCCTACAAAAAGAATCCAAAACTTTTTAAGTCAGAAATTCTCTCTCAGGCATTGACAAATCGAAAAGTTAATGTTCGTTATGAAAGTGCATTAATAACCTTGGAGGTAGCATGGACAATATATATTTGAAGCCACAACCCTCATAAATTTCAAAACTATTTTCATTCAGTTGACTATCAACCACCAAATCAAACGTCCATTCAGGTACCAATATCAACAACTAGAGAACAAAGAACAACAAATCAGGGGGAGATAACAACTAGTAGTAATCAGATGACGACTTCTGCAGCAACTGCGAAACAAGCATCTTGTGATAACTGCGAAAATTTACTGACGTCACAATGCGCCAATAATTTTCAGCCCTGCAGTGGAGTGTGTATGCTTCAAAGTCAAGCAAACATAATTCAATCAAAATGTATCAGGGTAAGCTTAAAAACCGTCCGATTTATTCATAATATGATCATTCTGTATTGAATCATTAAATATATTGAAACAATATATGTAGTTTTTCAAATTGTAAAATAAATATCCTGTATATTCTTTGTGATAAAAGTAAAAACATAAATCATTTCTTACAGGAATCGGAATGTAAATACAAACAAACCCTGGGACTGTTGTTTCCTGGAAGGAGCACGATTTGTTGCAATACAGACGATTGTTTTCAAAAGGAATTGTTCCACATACTACAAGGTACGGAAATGTTTTGTTTGTGAAAATCTTCAGATAAGATTAGGAATACGTAGCTTTTAAAATATCATATACATTATATATATTATAAGAAGCGACATTCTACAAAAGTAACATCCTTCAAAAAAATTAAACAAATGTTAGAAATTTTACTTGTGTGAGGGAAAGTTTAGAGGAATCCGGTACATATCAGTGCTTACGCATTTACTTAAGTCAGCAATGAAAACCTTATCACAGATGAATGAGCGCCTTTTTAGCATCATAGTTTATTTTTTTCTATTTTAAAAGTAATAATTTTTATCCCTTTGCTATTTGAGAACTTGTAGCTCTTTGTTTATGTTGTGGCATTTGCAATACTCAACAGACAGAAGTGATAGTTTGCTTTTTATATATATATATTTTTAGGACATATTATATCAACAACGACATCTTCTTCAAAAGTTCTGGTTACCATCAAGAAGTGATTCCTTTGTCTCCCACCAAGAGTTTTATGCATATGATTAAGTACTTTATTAAAATAAAACTGAATTACGATAAAATAGAGTTGAACCAGTCTGTTTATTAAATAATTGACATTCTTGATGGTTGTACTTAATATTCAATTAAAAGAAACTCAGACTTAAATATTTACTTATCCGGTTAAACATTGTAAGCACAATTCAATATAGCTAGATACATACATGATTCGGGTGATGGAATAGGTATGGGGAGTCTCTCAATGGCAGCGTTTATGTAAACAAGCAAATTTTCTGGGATAGTAAAAAGTGATGAGCAGTTTTCCTATACAGTTAAAGAATATTTACTGAACTGTAAGGGTCGGTACACACGGTAAGGCTTACCCTTTAAGTCATGGAACTTGAGTTCTAGCCTTACCTTGTGTACACCCCTAATACACGGTTTTTCGAGCCTTACAAGTCTGACTGAGGAATAGAACACTGCTCTATTTCTTAATACAGGACTTAGCTGACATTTATTTCTTAACCAATTAAAACCATTTACCCAAAGTTCAATCTATTTTTATAAAACCATATATACACGTTGGTATAATGTAGAAAACACAAAGTATATTCGAATAAGATAATGAAAATATTCACAAATACTTCAACCTTTCTCTTCTTTGTTAAGAAGTGTGGATACACTGGTCGATAACACTATTTCAAATTCCTAGATAGTAATCTACTATTCCGTTAAATAATGCGCACTGTTTATAGTTAAAAAAAAAACAAATGGAATTTATGTAAATGTTGTTTAGAATATTGAAAGTGTTGTCTTAGCGTGTGGACATGAGAGCCGTACGTCCTGCAAAACGTAAGGCAAGCCTTACCGTGTGTACCGGCCCTTAACCTACACCGCTCACGATTTTTATTATGTTAAATATATGAATGTGTATTCCTATGTTATGATCTGTCTTATTTGATGCAATATTATTATTTTACAAAAACGCACATGCCATCGATAGCCATATAACAGAGTTAACTTCATATGCATATGTAAAATTAATCCTCTTTGTTTTTAAATCATTAATTTACCACCGAATTTGTGGCCTAATAAATGTTTTGGGTGGTTTATTCAATAATGTATAAATGCTTTAGTACTAATTTGCTTTTTCATTTCATATTTCCAGGTTATATTGCAACAAATACGAGATCTACTAAAGTTCTGGTTACCATCAAGAACTGATGTCATTGTGTCCCACCAAAAATTACACGATTTAAAACTCATTACATTTAAAACAAATCGTTGATGGTGTCTTTGGAAATTTGTTTTTAGAACAAATTAAGAAAGATCCAGAAAATTACCTTCATGGAAGCTAAATTTAAACCAAACATTCTGAGAAATGCTCATGAGACTCAAATGAGAATCTAGTAAGAATTGTATGCAAATTAGATGGAATTGGATTTTGGTCTTGCAGATTGTTAGTCTCTTTTAGGAAGGAAAATACTAAAAAAATTGCACATGTGCAAAATTATGCTCATCTCAATGCTCATGAGCAAAAGTCTTTTCAATTTGTTCACCTTAGAACAGCCTTATTTAAGATATAGTATTGGTAGTAATTTTTCTAAGTTCAGTTTTCTCACGTAAGCAAGAGGTGAGGAAATTGGACATAGTCAAAATTTAGTATTACAAGTAGAACCAAAACCAAAGAATTACAAGTCTCAAATCCTCACGTGAGGCTCATGTGAGGAAATACAACACTTTGACACTCTATGTGGTCCAAGCTTTCACAAGCCTTTGTTACAATTGCCCATGTGTTAAGTGTTAATGCCTCCTGATCATAGCATCCCAAATGATTGGGGTCCAGGCAGGAATATATTAATTTCCTGAAATTTCTTGAGCTTCTAATCTTCATCCCATTAATTTGAAAATGCTTTGCTCTACCTAAACAACCTGCTTTTCTTGCAATTTCTTGAGCTTCTAATCTTCATCCCATTAATTTGAAAATGCTTTGCTCTACCTAAACAACCTGCTGTGTCCCCCCACAATTACTTAAACTAGGGCAGTATCCAATGATGAGAGCCAGTCAGGATTTGTGCGCATATAGATCCAGCAATGGGAGAAAAATCTACTTTGCCTCCAAGACAAGTTTAATTAATCCATCTAATGCAGTCAAAAAATGTTGATTGGACATTTATAATGGATGTTCTGGTGTAAATCTACTGGAAATCTAACTATTGGAAAATAGTACTATAATGTGTCTGTACATAATTATAATAATTTAATTTAAATTTTTATTTCATTTTAAGTTCGAAAAATGAAGTTGAACATTTATGCATGCATCTATTTACATGTACATGTTGATCAAGAATATTTAAATATTATTTACTTATAATATTTGTAATCTGAATTTTGTTCTATTGTTGCTTGCTCAAGTGAGAAATTGTTGCAAATGAGACTCATGAGCCTCATGTGACTTATGAGCCTCACGTGAGCAATATTCTATGTGATAAAAATGATTCCTCACATGAGCAAAAAATGCTAATGTACAAAAGCCTGCTCATGTGAGCATTTCACCTAATTTGCATGTTAAATTTCACATCATACTCACGTGAGCAACTCATGTGAGGAACTCTGGTTAGTCCTCAAGTGAGCTGCTCATGAGTCAATTTTGAGAATGGTTTT